GGGCGAAGCGCCAGGGGGCGCTGCCGCGGGCGCCGGAGCGGGACGGGCGCTGAGGCGGGACAGTCCCTCAGGCAGCTGCTGGGGCTGTGGCTTTTATTAGAAATCTCTCCAGAAAAGGGGCCTGCTGGGGAGGAGGTGCAAACAGCACGGGGAAGGGGACTACTAAGTGATAATTCACTATGAAGTGATGGCAATTCACTGTTTTTCAAGGAACAAGAGCTAGGGACTGCCTGATGAAGTGGGTATGCAGCAGGTTTGTAAGAAAATAAAAGTCCTTTTTTCACACAGTGCCTTACCAGAGGTCAAATATGCTTAAAATGACAAGTCCATCTCTAGCCTGGGAATTTTGTTTATCACGAATTACCAGACAATAAAGATGAGTTACGCTTGCCATATTTCATAGCTTCCTTTAGCCTATTTCTGGTACCCCTGAGGGAAAGGTGCTGTGGGATCTGGGCCTTCTCGTGTGGATCACTGTGGAAGTTCTGGTAGTCTTACACAGGCAGTGCTGCTGGAGACGTGAAATGAGCTCACCAGCGTAGAAATAACGCAGCTGAAACGCCTCCCCTGCAAACCGGAGCCTGACATCAGCACAGTACTCAGACCTCACCGGAAGGTCCTTCGTCAGAGGAAGAAAATCACCGCAGGAAAGCCGTGATTCACTAACGGACCTGGGGAAAACCTCTTCCCAGTGGAACAAGGTTTGTATGTATTTTTCAAGGAACAGGATTAACTGTGGGCATTCTGGAGAAAATGGAGAAGAGTAAGTAAAATAACATTGTGTAACATGTTTGATAACTTGATTTGTTTTTCTTCTTCATCCGTGCAGCCAAATAGAACCAGTCTGACGACTTCTGGAACACCCATGCAACCGCCCTCTTACAGAGCCACCTTTGTAGCGCCTGGTGTCACGGCCACCCTGTTGTACCTGGGAGATGAGGCACCTGCACCTGGGGAGCTCTGGAAGAGCTTTCCTTCCCCTCATGAGCAAGGCCCCTGTGTGTATCATTGCTCACATCCCAAGCCACTTTGCAAATCCACATCTCCGCTTGTAACCTGGGAGACAAGGCGGCTGTGTGATGAGTTGGATGGAAAAATGTGAGGTATAGGCAGACAGAGGAAAGATCTATGCTCTGGGCCATGGGCAGGAACTTTCCAGTTCTGCTGTCATTCTAGTTTGGTGGTCTCTTCTCATCCTCCTGAATCTGGTTCCCCTCTGGAAAACTACAGGAGGGGAACCTGAGCTGCCTTTGGTAGCAAATCTCTAACAGTGGCAAGAGACAGAATTAAGCAAGCTTCCACTTACAGATGTGACAATGCAATGTTTGAGGCCCACTTTTTGAACTATCATCTCTGTTTTATGTCATCTGCTGACTTCAAGTTTAACCTAGACCACAGGTAACCCAAAGTCCCAGTCACTGCAATGTGACACAAACAGATCGCTTGACCAGGGCATAATTTTTGTTTTCTGAATGCTCAGATATCCCACGGAACATTTTAAAGTGTGCTCAGAGATATAAAAAAGTACGTACCTCTGGACAGCTATAGCCAGCTGGAACAAGACTTGATTAGTGATGTTTCTTTAGCAGGTTACATGGGAAGTAGGAGAATATTTGGCATAGATAAACTGCAATTAGTACTTAATGTGCAACGGGCCTGTTTTGTTGGCCCAGCTTGTAATTTCCTTTCTTTCTTAATGATTACA